GGTCCGGGAAACCCCGCAGGGGCTTGTGTATACATCGGCGCTGGTGGCATTCGACTCATTCCATGCAAAGGAGGAAATGCCGTCATGTTGGCCACATTCCCCTCATGCAGAGTAGAGGCGGTACTAGAAGTAGCCGTGCCACTCTTTCCCAGTGGAGTACTGGGTTGGCCCACTATCCCAATAGAAAGACGAGATCGAACCCCAAGAGAAGAACTCATACCATGTGATGAGGAATCGGCATTTCCCAGTCGTTCATTTATGTCTCGACAGCTGTGTTTTCTTCGCTCTTGTTTTCGTACCACATCTCCTTCACGGCGATTACGAATACCAACAAGCATTGTACCAATAGTTGTGTGATGTAAAGCGCAGGTTCTACCTTCTCTTGTTTGTATTAAATTCTCTTTTGACCAATCTTGTAAAGGAATAGTACGGGCTCTTTCCACCTCATTCTGTAATCTGCGTACATGACGTAATAATACATCTGTATATTTTCCCATATATCGACTGGAAATATCTTTACATTCCTCTCGCCATTTAGCTACAATAGAGTCTTTACTGTGAAGTGTCTGACGGAGATCTTCACTTTCATCCTTAAGTTTGTATTGAATCCAACCACCCGTCGCAAGTATTGAGGGTGTTGTGAAGAGACCCGCAGCCCAGAAAAAAGCCGGCACCACATAAGATGGTTCACAACGAAGACGAATTAACTCAACTGGAGCATTTCCATCCATTGTATTTCGCCAATTTTGAAGTCTTTCTCGTTTTTCTTTTTCTTTTTCTTGTTGTTTTACTTTTTCTTCTTCACTTACAAATTTTGGTATGACCTCCTTCTTTACATTACCTCCAGTTTTATCATCATTATCATCATCATTATTATTATTATTGTTATCATGTTCCTTTTTCTCTTTTTGTGTTGTGTCAATGGTAGCTGTTGTTGTAATACCCTCTTCCTTTACGCTATCATCACTGCTCTCATCATCTTTTTCCCCAATTTCTGTTTGGATTACATTCATTTCGTTATGATGTTCATCCCCATCCTTACTCTTATTGCCCATCTCATCTAATGCTTCAGGTTCTAATTCCTTAAAAACAATTTCTGGTAATTGCAATGAACACATTGGGGGATCCAGACATGTCTGGCACTGTAGGAATGCCACATTCTCTGTTAAGGATTTTAAGGAAGAGTAGTTATCTAATGCGGCTTCAATATATACAATAAGATGACTCAGTCGTTTCCTCAATACTTCCAATGCCTCCTCTCTGGCTTTAAAGGCAGAAGGCTGATTATTACAGAATGTGTAATCGGATAAAGATATCTGCCGAGAGAAGGTAAATCCACCACTCTCCCCACCTCCGCCTGTTTCCATTGAATGATTTAATCCAAATGGATTTCCCTCACGTTGATAACATACACGTGAGACCGCATCCAAGTACTGATTGCGAAGCATCACCGCCGCAAGAAGAAGAACCCGCTCAAGTGTGCGATCACCCGCAGAGGCCAATACCGCCGCACTTAGAAAAAGTGTTACCGGTTCTGTATCTAAATCCATTGGGTTTGTCTTCTCACTACCTCCACTGCTAGCGGTGGATGGATTTGGTACTTTTGGGGAAAAGTTGCTGATGTGTCCCTTTGAAACCCTGAAAATATTTCGAGTATCTTCCTCCATACAGCCAAAATACCCAATCACTACAATATTACGTCCATTCCACATAAAAGAACCCGATCGTTCTTGTCCATCCTTGCAGGCCAGACACAGAGCACACGGTACCGGCACAAGTGCACGTTGGCTGTCCGCCACCATTTCCGCATCCGTTGCGTACAGTCCCTCCTCCACCTTTTCCAAGAAAACATCCAAGTCCTCTTCTGTGAAGGTGTTCGACATCAGTTCGGGCCAAGACGCAATCACCGTCTCACGCGCATTCGCGTAGGCAATCGCAGGATCACTTCGCATATGCACAAACTGGCGTCGAAGCTCCATGGTACTGGCCCTCTGAGCCGCTTCTGTGGAGGAGAGAGCAGTGGGGTCATCTGTGCTGCTGCTGTTGCTGTTGTTGTTGTTGTTTGGACGACCAAAGAATTTCTTCGTGAGAGGAATAAGGCCAATTTCATATGTCCCTCTAAAGTAGGAATAGAGTGTGGTGGACTCACGAGAAGGTGCTCCTCCCATCCTTTTTTTTTTTTTCTTTTATTCTTTTTCTTTGTTGTTCTTTGTATATTCGCTTTCTTTATATATACTCCCGCCTTTTTTTTTTTCTCTCTTTTCGTGTATCTTTGTTTTTTGTTCTCTTTTTCACGCTTTCCTTCTTTCTTGAGCTTCGGCCCCCCTTTTTTTTCTTCTTTATATATATAAAAATATATTAATATATATAAATAAGTATATATATATATATATATATATATCGCCGCAAAAACAACAAGAAAGAAATAAAAAGAGAAAAACAAATTGTGTTTTTTTTTTTTTTACCTTTTTTTTGTTCTGCTTTTCTCTCGCTTTCTTTTTGCGTTTTTTTAATTCTTTTTTTGGTTTTGTTTTCCTTTTTTTTTCCCCCTTTTGCTGTTTTTGTTCCTTGAATATTTCTTCGCCTATTTGACTTTTTTTTCTTATTTGAGCAATTCTCCTTTTCCCCACCGAAGTCTTTCTCCGCTTTTCTTGTGATTGTTTGAACTTTTCTTTTTCTTTCTTTCTTTTTCCCTTTGTTTCTGTTTGTTTGTTTGTTTTTTTATTTCCTGTTATCTCTGATCTCTCTCTCTCTCTCCACACACACACACAGAGACTCCTTTCGGTGTTGGAGATTGGGCAGATTCGGCCTCTCTCAACTTCTATGAAGGCTCAAACCCAGAAATCCCGTTCACCGGAGAGAAGAAAAAAGAAAAAGAAAAAAGAAGAAAAAGAATAGGAGAGAATTAAGAGAAAATAGACAGAAATTCAACAGGGAAGGGAAATAAATATACTAATAGATTATATAATATATATATATATATATATATATATATACTATATGTATATTTAATAACAATCTCAAGACAAAAAAAAAGAAGTATGAATGAAAGACGATCAACATATTGAGAAAATGAACAAAAAAGAGAAGCACCATTGATGAGAAATCAAACCGTAAAAATTAATATTAGAATATATAAATACAGGAATAAAAGAAAAAGCATCCACCGTTTTCCTTTCGTTTAATTCCTTTTTTTTTTATTTTTTTTCCTTTATTTTTTATTTATTTTATTTTTTTTTCACATCATTCCCTTGATATCCTTCTCCTGTATCCAGAGACCTCTTATTATGTTTTATTTTTTCTTTTTTTTCTACTATCTTCTTTACTTCAACATACTGCAGATACAAATGAACAAGGAAGCAAACAAACAAACATTTAAATAAATAAGATGATAATAATCATGATAATAAAAAAATATAAAATAAACATTTATTTATTTTTTTTTTTTTGTACATGTTTGCTTTTTTTTTTTTTTTTCACAGAACCCCATTCCCCTTTTCCCTCTTCTTTTTTTTCCCCCTTTATCTCCCCTTTCTTTATATATATACATATATATATAAGGTACGAAAAGTACAAAAAAGTACAGAAAAACAGGAAGAACCTCATTTATACTTTATTCTTTTTTTCTTTCTCTCACTCTCTCTCTCTTTATTGTTTCCCCAATATTGGTTTATTTCTCTCTTTTTAATGAATTTCGTTTTTAACGACTTTCCCTGCAGTTTCTAGTGAAGATCCCTCAATTGGCACCTCAAGCATATCAATAACATGATGGGCACCCCATAAACAGAGAAAGTGAGAGAGAGAGAGAGAGGGGGGCAAACAAACAAACAAAGGAAAGAAAAAGAAAAAAAAAAGGAAAAAAAGTCTATATATATATATATATATATATATAAGGAAGAAATGAAAAGAGGAAATAAATGGATGTACACGAAAGCAATAAGAATGAACCCTGCAAGAATAAAATGACACTGCATCCCTTATATATTATCTATATCTATATCTATCTATATAGATATATAAATAAGGAATAACCATCAAGAAAGCAATAATAGTAATAGTAATAATAACCAAAGAAAAAAAAAAAAAAAAAGAAGACACGTTTTGTTTTTTTTTCTTTTCACCCATTACTGCCGTTTTTCTCTCTTTTTTCTTTTCTTTTGTACGTTTTGTTGTGTTCTTTCTTTCTCTCTCCACTTCTTCCCGAAGGAGTTCATTGAAGAGTCAACACAGTGGAATGAAATAAAATGAATAGAGGGGCAATCCAATCAAATCCACGAAAAGAAAAGAAAAATAAAGACCGGCAACTCGATTTGAGAATAATAATTCCTTCAAATCAAAACAATGAAGATGCGGAAATCCATAATAATAATAACAATAATAACAACAATAATAATAGTAATAATAAAACTGTATACAAGTGGAGAGAGAGAGAGAGAAGAAAGAAAGAGTATGAATGAGAAAACACACCAGAGGAGATAAATTCACCGTAGAGTCAAACACATCAAGAAAAGAAAAAAGAAAAGAAAGAGGAAATTAGCTCTAAAGTACTGATAGTTGTAACTATCAGTAATCCCTTTCCGTTTTTCTTTTTTTCTTCTTTTTGACTTCATTCATTTGGAGGTGCAATGCATCCATATAAAGAAATAAGGATATATATATATATATAGACTTTCTCATACTTCACATTGCATGTTCCTCCTCCTGATCGTATCTTCATTCATACTCCCCTCCTCCCCCGACCAAAATAATAATAATAATAAAAAAAAAAGAAACTAAAAACGACCCTTTTCTTTTTCTTTTCTTCTTTTTTTTTTTTTTTTTTTTTCTTTCTTTCTTTCTTTCTTTCTTTCTTTCTCCTTTTTCTCCCATATTCACATTAGGATATGGGAGAATAGATAGATAGATAGAGAGAAAGAGACATATTGTCTCGTATTCGCTTTCAATTAACTACGTTTTCAGTTCTTCCCGTTACTGAGAAAAAACTTTTTTTTTTTGTTTTTCTTTTTGATTTTCTACTTTTTTTTTTGTTTTTTTTTTCTTTTTAGTTCCCAACAATTCCTACCGGGTGTGTACTCTCCCTATCTCCACTCCAGTCTAATCTCATCTCATCTACCTACATGGTTAGATAAATAGATAAATAGATAGATAGATAGATAGATAGAGAGAATATACCACACCATAGTAAAGAGGAATGGGAAGAAAAACAACTTTTTTTTTCTTTTCTTTCTTTCTCTCATTGTTCTTATTGGCTTCTATTCCCCTCATTATATATATATATATAT